GCGACATTATTGAATATGCGTTGTCGTTGTCGCTTACCCATTGTTTGGCTCAAACACACACATATACTTACACACCGCCCTAGGGGGGCGTGGCACATGGCTGGAAAGCCAAAAGCTTAACGGATTCTTACGGCCCATTGAAATTTATATGCCACTTTCACACACATTAAAGCCGAAATGGCCAAAAGCGAATCGAATGTTTAAGGTCAGACGGATGGTAACTACAGATACACCACCGCCAACCCAACCTCGTGCTTATTTATGCTTTGTTTGTCGCTTTGGCTAATAAATTAGCAGCTTTACCTTTTGGCCCAACTGCAAACCAATAGCAATTTATCGCAGCCACAAAGAAAGGCACGTAGCCAGAGCGGGATATTCCAGGATCCCGGATCGAAGGGGTTCGTCCTTCCAAATGTGCTCGCCTTATCGCCGGCTTAGGCGACACGCACAGGTGGGCTAACTCAACTCAGGTGGGGATTCCAGGTGAATGGGTGGCGGTAGCCCCTCCAACGAGACAGGCAATACTTGTTACCGACTTTAGCCTTTGACTAACGACGGGCGACAATAAAAATGGCCCTGGCAATTGGCACATTGCGGCTGCAAGTTAAAAGGATTTTCGATTGGAAATGATGAAGAGGAGTGGGGAGCAGGGTCACACAGTTTACAGGATGAGTCTGGAGAAAGTTGCAGACTAAGGTATTGCTTTAATGAAAGTCAAAGTAAATTCGTGCTTAAATTAAATTGCTAGGGAATGGGAAAAGTATTAGATAAGTATTTTAACGTACTTGGAGTATTTTTCTTAGGGTTTTTGTTACTAGACACTGATAAAAAAATATAAATAAATATTGTTCGCTGTTTGTATCGAATTTATAATATGAAATTATTAAGTTTAATGATTAGAGTTAATTTCTAGATCTTTAACTTTGTTTTTAAAAGTATTTTGACAAACATCCTGTCCAATTTTCACTACCTTGACTTACATACATTTAAATTATTGCCATTTTTTAAATTTTGTTCTGAATACTATGTTTTTGCATTTAATTTAATACGATATAATAAATTCCTTACACATATATTTATTTTTAATATTTCCTTTTTTTATTTCCCCATGCCTAAACTTAAAGCTATTAATTTAATAAAACTCTAGTGCAACAAGCAGGTCAGTCCTCAGGAAAAGGGAATCTAAAAAATATATATTTCGATTGCGTGCCGCGCGAGGAAAGTCCTGGAGATTCGGAAACGCTTGCCAGGATTTATCGTGCGTCCATTACAAGCGGAAATTAAGCGCGGCAGGTCGCCAGCTGGACAAGGGGGGCGTGGCAGATGGAGGGGCGGGCGTGCGTGAAAGCGTTTTGCCGGCTGGCCATAAAGTAACCAGCGGGCCAGGCATTCCGGCAGACCAAAGCAGAGCTATTGTTTTCGGGTCCTGCCAGAGTCCTTTGGCCGCTTTTCTATGCCAGTCACGTGGCACGCAACGACAACTTGGGATTTGTTAAGTGGCGCGTCGTTTTTGATGTGCGGAATGTTTAGCAGAGGTCCCTCGCCCAACTCTCCGGGCATTCTTTTTTTTTATATTTTGAGGCGAAAAGTCCATCACGTGTTCCGGACATTTTGCACATAACTTGTTTCAGCGTTTTTATTGCCAACTTCCGCTTCCGCTTTTGAATGCACTGCGAATGTCTTTTGTTTTTGCCCACCTTGCGGTTAATGGTACTTCGACTGGCAAAAAAGGCGGCGGCTTCGGTGGCAACCACTCCAGAAACTCTATCAACCATGGCTGATTCGATTTTCCGATGTGTACCTTTGCTTTTAGTGATTGAAATCGCACATTTTAAGTGAAAAAGCGCACACAGAAGTGCACTCAATCATTCGTCACGTGATTCAGTCGGCGCGGAGTGAAGACCTTCTACTCCTACCATTCCTGACTATTCCGGGTTTTCCGGGTTTTCCAGGTTTTCCCGCTTCTCGCCGTGCTCCTTGTGCAAATGTTTTTCTTAGTTGGACATCGAGTGGAAAGTGTTGGAGCACCACGGCTGTGTTTATACAAAAGATTACGCCACCAGATGAGAAATGGAGACACAATTGTTCATGTTGTTTATTGTTTCGCGGGCGGAGGGAAAATGAAAAGCTCTGCGATAATGCCACGTAAATGTTTTGAATGCGAAATCAATAGGGAAAAGCAGCTTTAAGACGAGTGGCAATTCAATGGGAGAAATTCGCAGGGTGAACTTCAAGCGCAAAACTTTTCTAATTTGCGCATTATGAAAATTGGGTTCCAACATAAAAATTTCACTCCCCTCCCGTAGGAGAATTAAGTGAAAAGCAATTTTTGAGCCTAGTCAAAAGGGAGAAAGCGAATGAAAAGAACTGAGAAAAACTTTTCCATTAAGGAAATTAACTGAGATTAAGTGGGGCCCTATGCCTTTGGCCCCCGTTGAAAGCTTTTGCCAATTGGGATGAATCGAAACTGCAACAATTTCAGGGCATTTAAACAGTTGTCACATACACATACACACATAGGACGCGCCGGAAGTGAGCCTGAAAGCGGAAGCAGCCCACAACACATGAAATTGGCTCAAGGAAGGAAGCGGAAGAAAAAGGAAGGGACTTTATTTGTTGGCTGCCACACTTCGGTTGCTTGTTTGTCGTCTCATCGTCCCCGTCGATACTAATCTAATTTTATTGATATTGACACAATTTTTGCAGATTTCCGCATAAACATAAAAACAGAGCTCGAACCCACATAGACGGTTCGGCTCAAGTAGCGAAACATCCAAGGCACGCAAACAAATGGTATCTAATAAAAATTGAACAAAAAGCAAACAAAAGTTCGATGATGTGGCCGCCATTGGATGGAAGTCAAACAATGCTAAAGTACTCGGCGGGCATTTCCTGTAGCAAATCGGGAAGGCACAAAAAGATATCTGTTCAGGAAATGCAGAGTTTTGGAAAATAGAACTTGGTAAAAAGATTGGAAACAAAAGTGAAACTTGAATAATAAAATCGAATTGCCTTATTCAAACGGAATAGAGTTGCTCATAAAAAATAGCAACTTGTGGAAAATTTTAAGTTTTAATCATAATGCGCAATTTATACCAAATCATAAATCATAGTCCAAACAAGACAAGATAAGATATCTGTGGGTATTACCCACTTTAACAAATTAAAGCTTAAACTCAAAATTTCCCAATCCAAAAATTGATAACAAAACCAGATTTTTATAGATACAGAATAAGCTTTCTACAAGATAAGCCAACAAGTTCCGGATACGTAATCTATTATTGTTTTTGGGGTATTACCTGGTAAAATTTTGAAGTAGTATTACCGTTAATTGACCGATAGAATGTCATCAATATTTATTTAAGCGACAGATAAGCCTACTTCTGTTCTTTCTAAACTAGTCATAATTCAAAAGAAAATTGATTTACCTTTGAACCCATTTGATAAGATCACTTATAGGCATCTAAAAGATTATTTTTTATGTGTCTCAAATACTTAAAACTTAAAATTGAGATTTAAGTTGGGAACAATCATGGAAAACTAGTTGCTATAGATTCAGCTCCTAATGTTAATTATGTAGGCATTATTAGGTTATACAAAAAAGGTTTAAAGTAAAAGGATGAGTTCAATTAAAATTCAGGGTAGCAATTTTTATTATGGTTCATTTTTGGACATTTTTTTTAAGCAGAGATGCCAGAGTTGGTCTTGATCCAGTCCAAGTAACTGGTCACCCGAGTGAAGGCAGCTGGGGCTCCAATCTCGCAGCCGTCCTCAGCTCCAAAGGAAGTAATACCGATGAGAGTACCATCCAGAGCCAAGGGACCGCCAGAATCACCCTGGCAGGTGGAAATGGAGTTGGGTGTGGCGACGCAAATGACCTTGCTGGTGACCACCAAGCTTCCAAAGGTCTGCTGGCAAACGGAGTTGGCAATAACCGTCAGATCAGCGAACTGCAGGTTCTTGGTAGCAGAGGTCTCCGTATCGGCGGTCATTCCCCAGCCAGAGGCAACGGCGGTCTGTCCAACGTAGGTGGAGTAGCTGCTGGCAATGGCCGGAAGGGCAATCTTGTTCACAGAGGCCGAAAAGGTCACGGCTGGGGTCTTGATCAGGGAGATGTCATTGCGGACGGTCAGAGAGATATAGTTGGCATGCTGGATCCAGTTGGAGCTGGAGACAGTGTGGGTGAACTGGGGGCTGGTACGGACAGTTGCTCCATAGTAGATGGTCACATAGGAGGCTCTGGAAAAGGGAGACGCCAAATAACTAAACCATTCCTTGGGATAACAGTAGTAAAACTTACCCGCTGGTGCAATGAGCAGCTGTCAACACCCAGGAGTTGTCGATGATGGATCCACCGCACCACCAGCTGCCCTTCAAGCCGAGGAAGCTGAGTCCAACCTGGTAGGGGAACTGATCCGCCACCGCATCCTTTCCATTGGTAATGCGACCACTGATGGATGGCTTCGACACCCTGTCGCGAGGATGCACTGCCGGAGTCTGAGGCAGGAGACCAGCGGACACAGAAGCAATGGCCAGAACCAAAACAATGAAGACCTTCATGGTGATCGTAGTACGTTGACTGAATGCCTTACCCTTGTTAATTTAGACTTTTATACACCATCCTGAAATGGCTTATCACTTTTACATATAGGGCGAATCCCAATGCAATAAATACGATTTGGAGATAAGTTAGTAAGCCATTGGGTTGGTAAAAACCCCGACCTATTGAATTGTGAGCATTGTATGATGGTCAATGCAGAAGTATATCATCATCATTTGTATCATGACTTTCAAATCCTATTCTAACTCCGATTTTATCAACTAACTGATGAAATTGATAGGGATTTTCCCCTACCTCAACATTTGGTAAAAGTTTACAACTAAAGTAATCGCTTGAAGGCTTTTCCCACTAGCGTATAAAGATAAGACACCAGGGGACGTTTATAAAATAGGCTCATTTGAAAGAAAAAAAATAATTCATTGAAAGCTTAGCGATCAGCATGAAGGTTTTCGTAGTCTTGACTCTGGCTTTTGCCTCCGTGTCCGCTGGACTCCTGCCTCAGGACCTGCTTGAGCGTCCTCGTGACAGGATCCCGAAGCCATCTATTACTGGTCGCGTTACCAATGGCAAGAACGCAGTGCCGGATCAGTTTCCCTACCAGGTGGGACTCAGCTTCATCGGATCGACGAGCAGCTGGTGGTGCGGTGGCTCCATTATCGACAACTCCTGGGTTCTGACCGCTGCCCACTGCACCAGCGGGTAAGTTGCCTTAACTTTTGATGATAGATCCTTGGTTATGAGCCTCTTTTTTTATCCAGTGCCTCCACCGTGACCATCTACTATGGAGCTACCGTTCGTACCAGCCCGCAGTTCACCCACACTGTCTCCAGCTCCGACTGGATCCAGCATGCCAACTATATCTCACTCACCCTTCGCAACGACATCTCCCTGATCAAGACTCCATCCGTGGCTTTCTCGTCCTCCGTCAACAAGATCGCCCTTCCGGCCTTCGCCACCAGCTACTCCTCCTACACCGGTCAAGTGGCCGTCGCCTCCGGATGGGGCCTGACCTCTGACACCTCCTCCTCGGTGACCCGGGATCTGCAGTACGCCGATCTAACTGTCATCGAAAACTCCGTGTGCCAGAAGACCTTTGGCAGCCTGGTGGTCACCAGTCGAGTCATCTGCGTGGATGGTTCCAACCGCACCTCCATCTGCAGCGGTGACTCCGGCGGCCCATTGGCTTTGGACGACGTTCTGATCGGTGTTACCTCTTTTGGAGCCAAGGATGGCTGCGAGATTGGAGCCCCAGCTGGATTTACTCGCGTCACCAGCTACTTGGACTGGATTGAGGCCAACTCCGGTGTTACCGCCTAAATCCGTTATTTAAAAATGTACCAAAATGTTCGATACATAATTAAAGAATATTTAAAAAACAACGCATTTTCTCTATTTCCTTTTCTAATAATGATAACAATTTCGTTATTTATAGTAATTATATATTTATAATCTTGTTGTACTCGGTGGCGAAATATAAAAGTTAAATGGTTAAATGGTAACAACTTAAAAGACACGCAGACATTTGCATCTCACAGACAATAAGGAGCATAAAACGAGTCGGAGAAATCTATTTAAAATGAGGGTAATGAACAAAGATACACCGATTTGGTGTTCCAAAATGCCAATTAGCTTATTAGTTAGATACTAAAAATTTACTGCTTGTTTATTTCACAAAACATAAATAGGGGTGTCGGAGAAGAATATCTTTCAGCCAAAATTCTCCCTAAAAACAAATCTCAGTTTAACAGAACAGTTCGAAAGTTACCAACCAACAAAACAGTAGGCTTTAAAAAAATATTTCCAAGATCGGAGAAACTTTCGCTTGTAGTCTATAGATTCAGGACACCGTTAACTTTTTTGGTTGGTTTTTAAAACAACCGATAGATCTCAATTTCTATTAATGATTGTGCTTTTATCTAAAATAGATATATTTGAAAATCTCATTGCATACTTGAAAACAATTTATGCTTATTTTCACTACTATTTTACTCCTGAAAATTAAGGAAACACAAGAATTTTAGAATGTGCTGATTTTATTTTTGGAAAAAGTTACAAGGCTGGTAAGTTCCTTTAAGCCGAAATTCCGGAGTTGGCCTTGATCCAGTCCAAGTAGCTGGTCACGCGAGTGAAGGCAGCTGGCTCGTCAACCTGGCAACCATCGGGAGATCCGAAGGAAGTGATACCGATGAGGACACCATCCAGAGCCAGTGGGCCACCAGAATCTCCCTGGCAAGTGGAGGTTCCCTTGGGGGTGGCAACGCAGATAACCCTGCTGGTGACAATCAGGCTGTTGAAGGACTTCTGGCAGACGGAGTTCTCGATGACCGTGAGGTCGGTGTACTGCAGGTGACTGGTCACGGTGGTGGCCTCATCCGAAATACGGCCCCAACCGGAGGCAACGGCGGTCTGTCCAACGTAGGTGGAGTAGGTGCTGGCGATGGCGGGCAGGGCGATCTTGTTGATGGCGGCCGAGAAGGGTGCGGCTGGGGTCTTGATCAGGGAGATGTCGTTGCGGACGGTCAGAGAGATGTAGTTGGCGTGCTGGATCCAGTTGGAGCTGGGGACAGTGTAGGTGAACTGCGGGCTGGTACGAACGGTAGCTCCGTAGTAGATGACCACGGAGGAGGCACCGCTGGTGCAGTGGGCGGCGGTCAGAACCCAGGTGTTGCCGATGATGGAACCACCGCACCACCAGCTGCCCGACGATGCGGTGAAGCTGAGTCCCACCTGGTAGGGGAACTGGTTGACCACGGCGTTGTGTCCGTTGGTGATGCGACCCTCAATGGAAGGAACTGCGGTCCTGTCACGAGGATGCATATAAGCGACCTGGGGCAGGAGCCCAGCGGAGGCGGAGGCGATGGCCAGGACCAAGACTGCAAAGACCTTCATGCTAATGGTTGATCGAAAACTGAATGATTTCCCGTCCTCAACGAGCCTGTTTTATACTCGTTCTAAAGGGTCTTATCTAGATCGCTGGGCAAATCCCCATGGTCCGATAGTATTCTTTGGGGGGGAAAAGCCAAAACACCTTACAGTGAATAGATAATCTTCACGCGGTTGTAACTATTTGGATTTCTTGTTTGGTCTTGTATTTTAAACGTTAAATTATAAACTTGGATAAACTTCCTTAAAGCTAGGAATTTCATAAAATTAATCTTATTCCTATACATAGTCTAGCAGAAATAAATCAATGAACAGGAAAATTCTGGAAGATCGCCGGGCAAATCCCTGTGGCTCGATGGTATTTCCAGAATTTTTTTTGTGGGAAAAGCCAAACCACCGTTGAACAATTGCGCCTAAACACGTTGAAAAGGAACTTTGCGTTTTAAACTTGAGTTAAGCATAGGACGAAAATTATATTTATACAATGATCAAGTCTCGAGAAGAAAAATCCTTCTATAAAAACCCTTTATATAAATAGAATCAATTCCTAATCAATTTCGTAAAATTTTATCCGCGCACGGGCTTGGACTCTGTTAAACCCGATTGAAGGGTTTTTCGCAGATTATTTACTAGGAAACACAAAAGGTGAGGATACATTTGTCTTAGAATTAATGCGGTTTTATTTATTGATTTTAATGGAATACAAAGTAATAGAATACTAAATGGCAGAAAGTCTTAGCAGCTATGACCGATTCCTCCCTGTACCTACTAAATGGGCAATACTTTTTATGACTTGGTAAAAATATATGATGATAACCCATATTATTATTTTCATAATAGAATTTTTGTGGGTTTTCGAATATAATGTGTTTAAAAAATATTTCTCCTGAACATCGAGTAGTTAGAATGTTAGGGGAAGTGAGTCAAATATAAGTCATAATTTGTGTTGCACACTATTCAGAGAGAGAGAGATTTCAGAAAATGAATGAGAATGATCAGCCCTGAATCTTCCTATTGTGGATTCAGTAATTTCCTTTATAAGTTTAGGCAAACAGCGCCTAGTACTCCCAGCCGAAATCATTATTGGTATAATAAGGCACTTTAAAAATCAAATGATGTAAAAGAAAAGTATGCTTGCAGTTGTTATTTATTTGTAAAAATCATTTTTAGACAGGAATTCTTCTAAGCGGAAACTCCTGACTTGGTCTTGATCCAGTCCAGGTAACTGGTAACACGGGTGAAACCAGCTGGGGCATTCTTCTCGCATCCTCTGGAGGAAACGAAGGAGGTAATTCCAATCAGCTTACTGTCCAAGGCCAAAGGACCGCCGGAATCGCCCTTGCAGATGGAGACCTGATTCACCGAGGCCACGCAGATGACTCCGCTCGTAACCACGTCGGTTCCGTAGGACTGTTGGCAAACCGAATTTGCAATAACCGTGAGGTCGGCATACTGCAGGTTGGAGGCCACAGAAGTGGAGGTGTCGGAGGTCCTGCCCCATCCGGAGGCCACGGCAGTCTGTCCGGCGTAAGTGGAGTAGCTACTGGCAATGGCGGGCAGAGCAATCCTGTTGATGGAAGCCGAGAAAGCAACCGATGGGGTCTTGATCAGAGAAATGTCGTTGTTCAAGGTGACCGAGTTAAAGTTGGCGTGTTGCTCGAAGTTGGAGCTGGAAACGGTGTGGGTCAGTTTGGGGCTGGTGCGAACGGTGGAACCATAGTAAATGGTCACGGAATAGGACCTGTATAATAGAAACAAGAACACTTAAAAATCTCTCAAGAAAGTCCTTCGAAAAGGATACTAACCCCTCGGTGCAGTGGGCAGCCGTCACCACGTAGGTATTAGCGATGATGGATCCTCCGCACCACCAACTGCCAGAAGAGCTGGCGAAACTGAGTCCCACCTGGTAGGGAAACTGATTCTCCGCTGCGTTCTTTCCGTTTGTAATCCGGCCATTGATGGATGGAACTCCTTCAAGGTCCCGAGGACGCATTGGAGTGTCCAGAGGCAGGATTCCGGCGGAAACGGAGGCAACAGCCAAAGCCAAGACAAGGAAAACCTTCATGGTGACAACTAGTACTCTGTGAGTGACCCCCAACAGTTGATCAGGGTTATTATATACCTTTCTGCGCTCTTATCAAAATTAACTAGTGGGCAAGCCCCCACTCGATTAAACTGATTGTAATTCATGGTTAAAGCAGGGATATTCCAAAAGTCTTATATGTGGAAATGCCCATTTCAATAACATATATAATTCAAGAAATATTTTTGGCAATAACGCAGTTAAACTAAAAATTTATACTTAATCTATATACTTGTTGAAATACATTTTGCATTAATAAAAGTTTAATGAAGTAAATGTATATACTAAGGGTTTACATGTAACATTAACATTTCCTCAAATAATTTATTCAATAAGAATAACTTTACCTTTCATGCTTTTTAAGGATGAATTATAATATCAATTAAATAAAGAATTTTACTATTATTATTATTATTAATGCCATCGATAAACAAAATTAATATTTCCAAATGCTATCTTTAAAGTAATATCAATCAGAATAGTTGATACTTAGGTATAAAAAAACAGCGTAACGATTATCTATTCATTGTAAGGTGTTTTGGCTTTTCCCCCCAAAGAATACTATCGGACCATGCGGAATTTGCCAAGCGACCTTCTAGATAAGACCCTTTAGAACGAGTATATAACAGGCTCGTTGAGGAGGGGAAATCATTCAGTGTTCGATCAACCATCAGCATGAAGGTCTTCGCAGTCTTGCTCCTGGCCATCGCCTCCGCCTCCGCTGGGCTCCTGCCCCAGGTCGCTTATATGCATCCTCGTGACAGGACCGCAGTTCCTTCCATTGAGGGTCGCATCACCAACGGACACAACGCCGTGGTCAACCAGTTCCCCTACCAGGTGGGACTCAGCTTCACCGCGACGTCGGGCAGCTGGTGGTGCGGTGGTTCCATCATCGGCAACACCTGGGTTCTGACCGCCGCCCACTGCACCAGCGGCGCCTCCTCCGTGGTCATCTACTACGGAGCTACCGTTCGTACCAGCCCGCAGTTCACCTACACTGTCCCCAGCTCCAACTGGATCCAGCACGCCAACTATATCTCCCTGACCGTCCGCAACGACATCTCCCTGATCAAGACCCCAGCCGCACCATTCTCGGCCGCCATCAACAAGATCGCCCTGCCCGCCATCGCCAGCACCTACTCCACCTACGTCGGACAGACCGCCGTTGCCTCCGGTTGGGGCCTTATTTCGGATGAGGCCACCGCCGTGACCAGTCATCTGCAGTACACCGACCTCACGGTCATCGAGAACTCAGAGTGCCAGAAGTCCTTCAGCAGTCTGATTGTCACCAGCAGGGTTATCTGCGTTGCCACCCCCAAGGGAACCTCCACTTGCCAGGGAGACTCCGGTGGCCCCCTGGCTCTGGATGGTGTCCTCATCGGTATCACTTCCTTCGGATCTCCCGATGGTTGCCAGGTTGACGAGCCAGCTGCCTTCACCCGCGTGACCAGCTACTTGGACTGGATCAAGGCCAACTCTGGAATTTCGGCTTAGGGGAACTTACCAGCCTTGTAACTTTATTCGAAAATAAATTGAGTAAATTCAAATCACCTTTACAATTTTTTGAGATAAAATATATATAATTTAAGTTATTAAGAATTTTTTCATCATATAATGAGAATATGTATTATTAATTTTACATAATATCAAAAGCCAACATCCAATGAATCATTAAATGAAACGAAACGGACGGTAATGATTAGGCAATGCTTGTGCTTTATATAACTGAAATATATTTCCCATTTATATTTACTTTCATGCGACTTAACTAGGGGATATTTATAGATATCACCTAATAAGAGACACCGGACTTGGTCTTGATCCAGTCCAGGTAACTGGTAACACGGGTGAAACCAGCTGGGGTATTCTTCTCACATCCCTTGGCGGATACAAACGAGGTGACACCAATCAACTTGCTGTTCAGGGCCAAAGGTCCGCCTGAATCGCCCTGGCAGGTTGATTTCTTATTGGTGGAAGCTACGCAGATCACTCCACTAGTAATGATGGATCCAAAGGTCTGCTGGCACACGGCATTGGTGATAACCTGGAGTTCGGCGTATTGCAGGTTGGAGGTAGTGGAACTGGCGGCATCTGAGGTCTTGCCCCATCCGGAGGCGATGGCAGTCTGTCCAGCGTAAGAGGAGTAGCTGCTGGCTATGGTGGGCAGAGCGATCTTATTTATCGCAGCCGTGAATTTTACAGATGGAGTTTGGATTAGGGAGATGTCGTTCCTCAAAGTTGCCGCGTTGTAGCCGGAATGCTGCACAAATTTGGAGCTGGAGACCTTCTGTGTCAGTTTGGCACTGGTGCTAACAGTGGAACCATAGTAAATGGTCACGGAAGAGGCTCTAGTAATGAGATATTTTATAGGTAAGTTAAAGGTATAATATATATTTAATGATTACTGACCCTTTGGTGCAATGGGCAGCAGTTAGAACCCAAGTATCTGCGATGATTGAGCCCCCGCACCACCAACTACCAGAGGAGCTTTTGAAACTGAGTCCCACCTGGTAGGGAAACTGGTTCGTAGCTGCCTTATTTCCATTAGTAATACGACCTTCAATAGATGGAGCAGCATTGCTGTCAAGAGGATGAACTGCAATATCCTGAGGCAAAACTCCAGCAGAAACGGAAGCAATGGCCAAGAAAAAGACTACAAAGACCTTCATTCTGATCGATTACACTTCAATGAGTGAAAATTACCTTGTAATGAGGGTCATTTTATACTGCCATCTTATCGATATAGGGATACAAGAGTTGTAAATTTTATAAATCCAACCGACCTAGTAGGGCTTAAGAATTTCTGTTGTGAAAAAACATCGATGTATCACAAATACGTTACATCAATATGAAAAGCAAAGTTACCACATTACCAAGAACAAATTAATAAATTTGATTTGCCAAAGGTTTACTTTTAGATTAAATATTTATATTGTTTACTGTACAGATTACGATGCAAGTAGTCAGTAATAATAAAGTTATATTGGCCAGTCAGTAAGAGATAACGATTACTTAACCATGTTGAAGCTGCTCTATGACACATTGATTTTAAAAATGTCTGTGGTTCAGTTTAGGGTAATTAGCTTTTATTCACACAAGTTAAAAGTTTGGAATATTTGATAAGCAAATGAGTGCCAGTACTTTAAACCTTATCAGTCTAGAAATATATTACAGAACCGTCAAAAATTATCTGATATAAATGTCTAAGAAATGTAATCAGAACATTTAAGTGGATGGCCCAGCCATCTATGTAGATAAGACTCTGCGGCTTGGGTATAAAAAGGGGCCAAATCGAAGTCAATAACCACACTCAGTTTGAGCAACAACATGAAAGTTCTCGTAGTTTTGGTTCTGGCTCTGGCCTCCGCCTCCGCTGGGCTCCTGCCCAAGGTCGCTCCTCTCCATCCTCGTGACAGGGTCTCGAGCCCATCGATCACCGGTCGCATCACCAACGGCAAGGTCGCCGTGGCTGACCAGTTCCCCTACCAGGTGGGACTAGCCTTCTCCAGCTCCGGTGGCAGTTGGTGGTGCGGTGGTTCCATCATTGGCGCCAGCTGGGTGTTGACTGCTGCTCACTGTACCGATGGGTAAGTTTCACTAACCCTCTCCATAGGATCGGGTCCTGGCTAATGCGAGATTTCCCTTCCCTGTTTAGAGCCACTAGTGTCACCATCAACTACGGTGCCACCGTCCGCACCAGCCCCAAGTTCACCCAGACTGTGGCCAGCAAGAACTTCATCCAGCACGAAAGCTACCAGTCTCTGCTCATCCGCAACGACATCTCCCTGATCAAAACCGACCCCATCGCCTTCTCTGCCGCCGTCAACGAGATCGCCCTGCCCGCGGAAAGCAGCACCTACTCCACCTACGTTGGAAAGACCGCCGTTGCCTCCGGTTGGGGCCTGACCTCCGACTCTGCCACCGCCGTGGCCAAGGATCTGCAGTACGTCGACCTCACCGTTATTGAGAAGTCCGTTTGCCAGAAGACCTACGGAACCATGATCGTCACCGACCGCGTCGTCTGCGTTGACACCACCAGCAAGGCCTCCACCTGCCAAGGAGACTCCGGCGGCCCATTGGCTCTGGAGGGAGTCCTCATCGGTGCCACCTCCTTCGGATCCTCCAGCGGATGCGAGGCTGGTCTCCCCGCTGCCTTCACCAATGTGTCTTACTTCCGTAGCTGGATCAAGACCAACGCCGGTATCTAAGCTTTGAGAAAATATAAAAACTGCTTTGAAAATTTAACAAAAAATGTTTGTACTTTATCTGGGGAATTACAAAATAACAATTTATTAAACGGACTAGCAAGTTTTAATAAACCAGAGTTTAAGGATAGCTTGGAAAAAAAGGGCCAGCATTAGAATACCTTTTAAAATATCTAAAGGCATTATGTCACAAGCTTGAGTTTTGACAGACTGACTGGACTTATTTTCGAAGTAAAAAACCAATAACATTTAATAAAGTTATGACGTTTTAAAATAATTCCAGTATATATATATTTTAAAGGGCATTCTTATGCTTGTTTATTTCTATACAAGCTTTATCAAGCTCTGTCTTTCAAAAATTATTAATCAATGAAAACCAATCAAGCACTTATAAAATAGTTTTTTTTTCCTTATCAAAGCAAATATTTTGCACGCTAATCCACTAAGTAAACAAACTTACACTTTATGATCTTAGTTGAATACATACTTTATGATCATCATACAACTAAATGACGGATATTGGGCCTTGGTATGAAGTACCCCTAAGCCATTTTACCGGAACTTTATCAATGGCCTTTTCATATATCAAAATGCAGCTGAAGGGGTGCAGTAAATTAAACAAATAATAAACTAAGCGCTGATAAAACGGCAGTCAATAAATATTAAGACCCCGACCCAGACATTATGGCCATCGTCGTGGGCCAAGACGGAAATCGTGCAAGTAAGGGGCCCGGGGAAATGAATGGTTTGAAAGCAATTAAGCAGACTGCATTGAGCCAAAGGGAGTC